CTGTGAATCTCTGAATACCTTCTCTGGCATCACTGGAAAGGAGGAGGGCAGGGAGGGGATTAATCCAGGACTGTGAGCCCCAGCCCCACCTCCCCATCTCTCCTCTTTCTAAGGAATCAAAGACTCTGAGAGGAGCCAAGGAAAGAGGGGCTACAACCCTGAGGCTCCCTGGGCTCAGACCACCTCAGCCCTGCACGTCCCCTGTATGCTGGGGAAACAGCACCCATAGGGGGAGGGTGGAAAGTCGCCTCTCCCACCAGCCTTGCTCTGTTCTTCAACCACTCAGACCTCACACTGGGCGCAGAGCAGGAGGGTGTTTAATAGTAGGAGGGCCCACAACCCTACTGGAAAGTTCTCCAGGGCTTGGCCCCTCCAGGTTGTCCAAGGCAGCCAAACTCTGCCCACCCATCCCTGTAACCCAGAAGCCCTGGTACCTGATCACTTTAGCAGCCCAGACACCCCCTGGTCCCCTTTGGGCAGCATCATAGTTTCCGCGGGCATGGAAGTATTTGTCTGCACCTATGTACCCAGCTTCTCTCATATCAGAGTAGGCTCTCCACATGTCTTTAGCCCCTGGAAAGCAAAGCACATGGAGTAAGGATTATCAGGTGGAGAGAAAACTGAAGAATCAAGGAATGAAAAATCTTCCACTGACTCGGTTTCAGCCTGTGGTCAGAGCACCACAAATGCCACAGGGTGAGAAGAGCATTCCTTATGCCCAGCTGCCTGCTCCTGGTACTGGAATGAGCGCCATTGGGGTGGGATGGTGGAGGGCTACATCTGTGGGACCCCTTTGTCTGATGCCTGTGATGCTGTCTCTGTGCTGCGTCTCAGTGAGGGCTCTACCTGATATGTTTAAGGACAGAGCGAGGCATCATTACAGGACAGGAATCCTCAACAGCATTCTATCGAGGCATCATTACAGGACAGGAATCCTCAACAGCATTCTATTGAAATGTGAGACCAGGTACATTGTTGCTGTCAGGGCTGTCCTGGATATTATA